GTTACATTTTATCGCCTTATGAGGCATTTTTGTTTTTCAAATCAAAATAAAGATTAGCGAATTAAACAAACGAAGCAAAATACAATTACAAGAGGCTAGTGCAGTCGAATAAATAACCATAAGTAAAAAATGACCAAAAGTTTGCATTTCATTCATAAGAATGCTATTACAAAACCTTTGTGGGTAAGCCTTGAGTAAGAAAACAAAAAAAATGAGAGAAGTGTTAGATCTATGACATTTAAAGTTGAGTGTTGGATGATCTGCTCTGTCATCCACCTCATTACCTCCCCTAGATTCCTCATGATGCTCAGAAGCAGGCAGAGCACCATAGAACTTTTTAAATTCCTCAAGGATGGAGTAGTTGGGATCAACCATCCCCCCTCTAGTGAACTCATCAGCCACAATCTTCAAGCCTGCCTCTAGCTATTTAACTTTTGCGGTGAGGAGTTCTTCAACAGTCTTCATAGTAGACATTCGCTGTCATTTCAGTATTATCCACTTGAACCACCAAAATCCATTCGAAGCTATGTATAGTTCCGCCCAAGCATCTATAAGGTCAGCCTCCGCCTCACCTGCACTCATGGTATCCAACTCCGCCCGCTCCGAATATTTCCTAGCCATCTACTCAAACTTGTTGAATCTCTCTCATAGATAGGTAGAGCGAGGTTAAGTGGCGACTAAAGGCGTAACCTAGGAGCTGGTAGCGGTCAAGCGACTGACACAGTTTGATCATGCGGAGTTCATCAAGAGACTTATACAAGCACGCTGACCACAGAATGTCAGCAATTGTAGAAGCATATCCTGTCCGCTATGCATTCAAGGGGAACTAATCCCTCTCAATGTTCACCAAACCAAGACTCAAATCATAATTTATATAAGCCATTGGTCGGTCTTTTTGCACGAGAATCCATCGGTCTTAACCCCTTTTTGTTACTTCTTGGTGGAGTTGGGAGGAAAGAATTGAAGGAGACAGCTTTGCCCTTTCTCTTATACTCAGGTGCATCAGCTAAAATGGGGCCTTTGTTTGTGCGCTTAGCTACCTCAGCCGAATCAGGGCTCTCTTCCATATTTTACCACAAATATCAAACAACTAGCTCTCTCTTGACCTATACCTGTGGCGACTGTCACCTTGCTTCAGCTCTTTCTAACGGAGGGATAAAATCTGTCGATGATGGCCGAGAGATCTCCCGTGTCAAAAGGCGCCTAATTGACCCTCTAGTATCTGTTGGAAAAACGGAAGGGGTTGCGTCATCTCTTGAATCACCTATAATCCCAGAGGGAAGTTTTTCTTTTTTTTTTATCAGCATTAATCCTCTTGTGACTTTATTCTACATAACAAAAGTTTTTGAAAGCGAATTAACAAAATTCAAACCTAGAAATTGCCCCCCCTGGATCAGCTTCTTCAAATTCTTCTTTTGTTTCTCCCACGGGGGAACCGCCCACCTCTTTCTATTCTTTGTCATCTTCTTTGAAAGCTGGGTGGCCTTCTCTTGTTGTTTTTTTCCTCGGCCTCGTTAGAAGCGACCAACATTTCTTCTATCATTTGGGCATATTTACTCAAGTTCAGCACACGGCTTACAATCAGTGGGTCAGTGTATTGAACCATTGATAGTTGTATGTCGAGAACGACATGTTCCATTGCTTTCAACTGCGACGAAAACATCCTGCTTTTCATATACAAGTCACCTGTTGCTCTGGTCATGGCGCTCCACTCATCACAGACACCCCTCAAAAACTACAACTTCCGTTCCTTTATCTTGTTCGCCAAATCAATTAAGTTAAACTTCCAAGTAGTGTTAAAAGCCACAACCATCTGGCTCGACTCGGAGGGAGAAAATGTGTGAAAACAATTTGTGTGCCACACCTATTCTGCGCAGGTAAATCACGTATTTCCTAACTGCGACAATGAAATTTGGCTTCACTTGCGCTAAAATCATGCCATAGAAGTTGAAAATCGAATGGAGTTTTGAACAAAAGGGTAGTCGAAGCCCACAACAAAATTGGTCTCGGTGGAAGATTAGATCGTCGCCTAGGTAGCAAGTAGCCCAGAAATTTGCATCCACTTGCTCTATGTTGACGCTTAAATTGTAGACACAAGTCTCGTCAAATAACTTAACCTCAAACTCAGTGAGGATTGATTTCTCGATCAGTCTAATTGAGTCGAAAATCTGAGGAGCATACTTTAGAGCCATCAAACTCTATAGATAAGTCAAACCAAGAATAGCCAAAGAAAAAACACAAAATATCCACAGCATATGTTTAACCCTATATATCTAGACTCGATAAGGAATCCGAAGCGCCATATCGGGTTTCGCCAAGATGTCAGTTTGGCCCGAAAATCAAGAAAAACAATTATGACTAAATTATGGAAAGATTAACAAATTTATTTACAATATATATATATATATTACAACGGAGTCGTTCGCTGCTTCAAGCAAGACTAGACCCCAATTCATCAAACTCAAATACAACTCACGCCCGCCAAACATATACTTGGCTATCTTCTCCTCCTCAATACAGACATGGGAGATCGAGCTGGTGACCCGAAATCCAGCCAGTTCACCTGTTATGATCGCCTCCTCAACCAAGAGAGCTTCCACATCCGAAACCTTGGCTCGAAGATCAACCTCATCGACAACATTGGCCTAAAGAACCGTCACATCCACAACTTAAGCCCAGAGAACCTCCATGTCTGCATATACGACCAGCAGTTCCTCCCACAAATTTGATACAGTGGCCTCCCGCTGA